GAAGATTTTATTGATCCAAAACCGGATACTGACTGATAGACCTAGAAAGTTTGAACGCTGCTTTTCGCCTTGAGGATCAGCAATTGGAAGCCGGTGGTTAGAGTCGGGTTGGCGAAATCTGTCCAGAATACGGGCTTTCTCTGTCCAGAATACGGGCTGTATGAGGGCGCTGTTGTCCAGAATACGGGCTTTCTCTGTCCAGAATACGGGCTGTGAAAATCTGTCCAGAATACGGGCTATATGGGGGAGATGTTGTCCAGAATACAGGCTTTCTCTGTCCAGAATACGGGCTGTGAAATCTGCGTCCAAAATACGGGCTGTAAAATCTGTCCAGAATACGGGCTGTATGGTGGCGCTGTTGTCCAGAATACGGGCTGTATGGTGGCGCTGTTGTCCAGAATACGGCAGAGCCATAGATAGTAGTCCACCAAGGAAGGGCCCAAACCAGTCCCACTACCACTAATGATTACAGAGCCAAACCAAGGCAATATATGTTTTTATATATATATATATATATATATAATCAAGGTCTTGGCGGAGGGGTATTCAGTTGTCAGAATGTCAAAATACGACATTTAGTATTATTACGCAGATTTTTACATGATAGGTGACACAATTTGCCTTCCAATTGAGAGGTATTAAAATTGCCCAATAATTACCTCGTTTCGTCAAAGGAACTTATATTATACACAGACCCTATGTATATACAATCTGTGTATTATATGAGGTTGGCAGATCGCTGAGAAAATGTTTAACGTTGCGAAGATAGCGATGATGGTATTAAAAATTGCTAGTAGTCCACCAGAAATACGGATTTGAAGCACCGAAGTTGGACATAATTACAACAAAACGTTTTTTTATGAATATATATAGTTAAATTTTATATCTACAACATACAAAAAGTTTACCAAAATATACCCACGGTAAAGGTGATTTTTATAGCAAAGAAAACTGAACTATTTCACTGGGCTTATACGCCCTGCCTAGGATGTGTGTGCTGTGCCTTGGTTACGAAGCGCTTTAATTTGATTTGCCGCTGACGTTTTTGATTGGTTAACATA